TGTTTCAATTTTTACGTTACACCTGATCCTGAAATTCTATTGGTCAAAATTACGGGGGTGAACAATTTTTGTAGGAGAGCTAGGGCATCGATGATACATATAGCATGTATAATGCTTTATGTACCGGATATAAATCACTGTCTAGCACTTAAACTGGTAAAAGGTACACTCCATGGGGGTACGCATGTCCGACTTTTATGGTAATTTTTGCTTTTGCTCCTTAATTGCAATTCGTATATTCAATGTCTTCTACAGCATAACTTTCAATATCAAACGGTTTATATAATGTTAAATTGGATAGAATGCAAGAAATGGCTAATCATTCTGAAATTAACTTAGTAGTGAACGCAAAGAAGGACCTTAATGAATAAAAGAGAAGATTATAATGATGCTTTGATTATAACATAAGTAATTAAAATTTGAAAGGGTAATTTAGAGTTTGCATAAAAATTTAAGAGATGTACATACGTAATCAATTTAATATACATATTTAATAAGTTCGAAACAGAAAGTTTCTACTGAATATGTGATAATGTTGATCACGAAACTAAAAGAAAATTATAAAATAAATTAAAAATATAAATTCAAAATATTAAAATGAAGCTGAATTTAAATGAAATTTATTAAAGACAAAACTACCATTTATACATTTGTTATTTATATAACCTATCACATCTACTTATGAATTCATAGACAGAAAACGTTTGGCAAACTTGTATTTCAGATGGAAACAATTTTTTTTGCAAATTCTAATGAACTGATCGAAGGCCAACAACTGAAATTTTCATCATTTATATAGTCTGCTAGCTTATTTTCTGTGGCTATATACTCTGAAGACTCTACCATCAGGTAGCGAACCAAAAATCGTTCCAAAGCAATCAATAATTCACAAGAAGAAATTTGATTATGAAATTGTTCGTCAAAGTCAATAACTCTAAGTAGCCGCATTTCCATGTGCTGCGATAATGACTTTTTATACTTATTATCTATGTCATCAAAAGAGTATGTCTTCATACTTTCTACCCTTTCATATAAGCTAATTAGGTGCTTGAGACGTAATTCAGTGCTGAACATTCCACAAAACTCCGCGTTTTCTGTCAAGGTTGACAAATTTATTTTCTGAGTAATATAATCCTTGATAGATGTTTCACTATAAATTCTGCAATTGACGCTACTTATTAGCATTTCTAAAGCAGGGAGCATTCTACATGCATCCTCAGATGAAAATGATTTGTCGAGCACATGGCCCATAATGGAATGAAGAGCTTATATTCGCAATTGGAAGTGATTCTTGAGCAACAAAAAAATTTCGGAAATTTGTTAAAATATTAAAATCTCGCAAGAACATCTCTCCATAAAATGGAAATGTTGTGCCAAAAGTGTTACTAATAAGGAATTTATTAAAAACCAACTGATGCACTAGTTCCATTTCAATTTGATGCAAATCGTATA